ACAGGAAATCCAGGATCCAGTTAACGATACTGTTGGGGATCTCGACTTCCTTGAGTTTGGCCGCCAGAGTTCCGTGATCAATAAAATCAAAAGCCTTGCGGTAATCGAAGAGGAAAACACGCACAGATGCGCTATTTCCGTCTGTTGCTTGGAGTCATTCGTGGATCATACTTAACAGAGCGAGGACAGTGGATGAACCTGATACGGTGCCAAACTGGTTTGAATCAGCTATCCTCTCTAAGGCTGGTATTATGTAATCTGATACTACGAAGTCCTCTGCAACCTTGGAAAGCGATGCGATTAGCGAGATCGGTCTGAGTTCTTTCTTGGGATCTACGACTTGTCTTACTTTCGGGGGTGGAGTAACGTCCGCGTGCTTCCAAACAGATGGTAATTTCTGCTCTTTGTATGATGAGTTAAGAATGTCAGCTATTGGTTGGTATAGCAGTTCCGCGTACTCCTTTAAGAACCAGTTAGACAGGCCGTCGGGGCCTGGGGCCTTGTGTTTATTCAGGTGTAACAAATTTCCATAGACTCGCTCTGGGGTGGCTTCTAGAAACACCGGGTTGTCCTTTAATGGTAGCGGGTAAACACCCTGCTCTCGGTTTAATGGTTAAAATTGACGCAACGGTTTTAATAGGGCCTCATTGATACCGTTGGCGATTTCAGGCGCGGACAAATTCTCCAAGTCCGGGACGTTTAGGGCGTTTAGTAGGTTCACATTCTGACTCTTTGCGCCACTAAGCTTGTTAACCTCTTTCCACCACGAACGAGGGTTTACACCTTTAAGATCTTGGACTTTGGAAGCGTAGTATTTCCCTTGGCATAGTTTCCTTTCTTTGTTAACAGCGTTTCTATAGAACTTATATGCCAGGCCATGCCTGTTGGAATAGAAGGCTTGTTGGCGCATGCGTATAAGCTTTTTTAGCCTAACTGACATCCAGGGACAATCCTTTGGGTAAATGCGAATTGACCTTTCGGGCATGATATTGTTTATGCCAATGTCCACTAGATTACTGAAGACTTTAAGCTTTTCCTCGCAGGACGGTTGATATGTGACGCATGACCAGTCAATGTTCCTAAAATAACGGCCGAGGCGTGCCTTGTTACTGTCCCGTTTGTCCCTGATTGAGATGGATTTCCTTGTTTTCTGGTTCGGGATTCGTTCCTTAGGTCTTACGAAAACTGTGCAATGATCCGAGAGCCCAAAGGGTGGATACGGCTCAGGAGTTGCAAAATGATCACCCATGTTAGTTAAAAATAAATCGAGCGTTGCGTTCCCTCTCGTAGGGAATTTCACGAGTTGCTTGAGCTTGAAATGCTTTTGCAGGCGGCTTGTATTGAGACGGTTGAAATCTCCTGTGAGAATAATCCCACAGTTGGGAAGTGCAGCTTCTGCCAAAGTTAGACTTTCGAAGAGATGGTCATTCAGGATATGGGGATCGGATTCTGCGGGACTGGTCCGACCGGGGTAGTAAACAAGGCCAAATATTATACACGAAAACCCGCGAGGGGTTCTTGGTGGATTAAGCTTCAGCCATATTATTTCGTGATCGTTGCAGCATTGTAAATTTTCGGGGATTTCGAACTTGATATGATCTTGAATGTTATATACATACGCCGCCATGTTCGTGAGAGGATCGATCTTTCGGACGATATTATAACCGTCAGTGTTTACAACAGAGTCATTAATACGTTGTTTCAGCCAAGATTCCACGATGCATCCGACATGAACGTTTAGCCGTAATAAGAGTTTTTGAACCTCATCTAGCTTCGGAACTAAGGACATAGCATTCGCTAGCATTACTCTAGGGACGAAATGGACTGACGCTCGGTTTTGATGGCTAGGTTTCGTCTTGGAAACTGCGACAAGGTTGTTAAAATTCACTCCTCGCGTTAGATGCAGATTTGCATACTGAAAACACGGGGACGAAATCACAGGAATGTTAAACTGTTTCCTAGCTTCTTCGGCTCTTGTCTTCACGCCAGCTCTTCTCCCTCTCTTTGGATAGCCTACGGCCATCGTAAAGGGGAAAGAGTGAGTCACTTCGTTAGAAAAGAATCCGTTAAGAGATGTAACTCCGCTCCGTTGACTCTGCGAGGGTTGAGATGCTTGAGCGGTTCCAAGAATTGCGATGAAAATTACTCCAAAATGGAGCTTAAAACGGACTACATACGAACAGAAAGGGCGCTCATACGTTCCAGAAATCAGTTATCGTGAGATGTGGCTTGTGGAGAAGACTGGAGTGGAGATTTTAGTTGAAATTGCCGAGGCGAACTCTAAACGCGTGCAGCCGTGACCGGCGCTTACATGCTTACATCGCTTACATGCTTACATCGTGGGTCCATGTATCTCGTTTGAAGAACAATTCTGTTATGTTCCGTTTCCTTCATTTAGTAGCTGGAGCTGACGACGCTGACTGCTGTCTGCTGCTGCTTGAGAAACTGGTTGACCTTGCGCGAGCCGTGTACGGCTGAAATAAATTTCGAAAATTTTCCAGTACACGTCCGTCGGTTTTCCGTCCGTTCACTGCACTGGCTGCTGCACCGTACCTTGGAGGACAATTTTCGGGACCCTGGGATGTGTGTTCCCTATTAAGACGGGTCGCCACTTCTAATAATAATAAATTCACCGCACTTTCGCGAAGAGCCGCCATGTTTCCAACCAAGACAGGGCGACAGAGAAGAAATAAATTAACATAATTATGATTTTGGCAGGAAATAATTTATCTTGTCCGAAACTCGTTTCTGAGTGTAATGCCGAACTGCATGTTACCTTGAAAAAACACCATAACGAAACGCACACTATGAAAATGACAAATCACAACAGCAAAACTGCCATTCCCTATGTCGAAATTGAAGAATACTAGAATACAATGGCAAAATGGCAAAGTGTAACAGCCGAACGCCAAGGTACAGTGACAAGTCAGCACATTGTAAAAGCAAAATAGTCAAACGTGATAGCATAATGTCATAACACAAGGACCAAATAGCATATTAAGGCGTCACATTGGAATAGCATAATTGCATATCTCAATGTCATAACTGAAGTTGTGGAAAACATAATTAAACATTTATTTTTGACGGTAATTACACCCCATACCTATGAATTTTTAAATCGTGGTAAAGACGTAAATCGTTATCCCTTGTCAGCTTTTGTACGGCCAATTTACCGGATCAAATCTTTTGGTCGCCCCAAATTATTTGTTCTACATTAGTGGAGGGGGTTGAGCGCCAGGGAGAACAGGGGGCTGGAGACGGCAGGAAGCAAGAGCAGATATGGAAAACGCAACCTTTGAGAAGCCGAACCCAGCAAAGTTTTTTGTCTACCATTTAATGCCCATCCAGAAAGAAAATTTCCTATTCGTTTCTTTATTACGTCAAAGGTCATAGATGCGATGTCATGAAAACTCAACAAATTTGTCGGTCTCTTGCAAGCTGTATCAGTAGAAAATTTTCCAGCGACCAAAGTGAGTCAGGTCAAATGTCGTCAAACGGCATAATTTCTTCCAGTCAGTTGTGTTTTTATATGTAAGATTTTACGCCAGTAACTAACGGCGTAATTTCTTCCAGTCGGTTGTTTCTAAACAGATGGATTACACAAACATGCTATTTTAATTACAGTGACAGTGGTAGAAATCTATTGAAAGCAACCGAGCAAAACACCGAACGTATACACGAGGTTCATGCACAAGCGAGTATTTTCTTGCGACAACTGCCATTTTCGAATATTTTATGTATGCGAAGATTTTATTTAGCTCACACTTACGTATTTACAACAACATTTATAGTTACATGTGATTTACTCTAAAATTATGCCAGTCGGATAGATTGTAAATAAAAGAACAATACAGGCGACAGGCCAATTTCAGCTCAAAACACGTCGACAGAGCTGGTATCTTTGTAAACAGCGATTTGTTTATTTAGCACTCTAGCGGGAAAAATAAACTCAAAAACTTTACCTAAAACGGAGGTTTGCTCACTTAACAATAAAGGTAGAGTAATTTTTAAGTTAAAATTGATATATTTAAATGAATCAAAACAGAAGTAGAGACCAAACACGTCGAGTTTTGTCCCAAGAGTAGGAGTACAGTAGTCAGCAAGAAAATGACCGAACTCCGTGAAAATGCACGCTGTATATTTTGGTCTGGCGCGCTCGCTTTTGACGGGCCAAAGATAATGTTTTTACATGATAAAAACGAAAAATTGCTCGTTGAAAAGAGCTTTTGTATTTTATGTAAATTCGTATTTTTTTCAAGACAAGAAGACTTATAATTAGTTTCGGCATTATTTTTCGATTCCATCGATAGAGTTGTCTCGACAAATAAATACCGTTCGGGATATTCACTCGAAAGTATTGTAATCGTTGTGTACTATATCGTCTACTGGAGAACCGAGTCATTAAAGAAAAAAGAGTGAAAAAGATAATGTTAAATTCTTGATGCCTGAAACAATTTCTTTAGTCCAATGTTGTACACTCTTCTCATCCACTCAATATTCCTGCCACCCCTCACAGATTTTAAAAATATTTTCCCCCAAAAGGCTTGGAAAAAGGACACAATGGAAGCAACCGTAATTTGAGCGCTCAAAAATAATGGATATCAGCAGTGAGAAAAACTTTTGCCCTTTGCCTGGTTTTGTTTCCTCTCGCAAATTATTATCAGAATTGTTATTTTAGTTCAGTCAGTTGGTTTAGTTCAAATATACCTCATCGAGCGCGACTACGATTTAGGAAGTTTTTTGTTCTGTTTAGACATATTCCCGCATGGAATATCATTTTTCAAGAAACGAAGCTTCCTCACAGGTCTCATATTGCCCGTATTCCTGTATCCACTTTATTAGAAATATAAACAGCAGTAGTTAAATTAAATTACGGTTATAGGGAACTGGATATCTCTATAAAAAACTTTTCAAATCCACAGGAGCTAGTGAGTCATCCACCACCGTGATATATTGAGGCGTTTACCAGTGGTATTTTGTTACTCCACTGGATTGGTACTCCCTCCTGGCCTCTCAATAATTTTTTTCAGATTAACATTTGTAGATTTAGGGTATACCGCAGTATTTTTTCATAGACTCTAGAAGAGAAATTAAGTGTGCGTGACACATTTTTAAATTCTCAATTTCAGTTGTTGGACTTCAAGGGTTTTGACTTGCTCATTCAAAATTGGCTCTCACTTTTTGACCAGGCTACAGGTGTCACAAAGCTGATTGTTTTTTGTTCTTGTTTTGTTCTTATTTTTTTTTCTTTTTTCATCCCTTTGTGCAAAGGAGAGAGATCAGAGGAAAACACGTATCTGAACACTGAACTGCATAGAATATTCTTGACTTGATTACTAGACTGGTTAAGAATGAGAGGGAAATCGAAGGTGAACATTCAATACTTCAATGATTCCTTTGCTAAATTTCCTTACACATTTTTCTTTGATAATCTATTTAGCGAACGTATTTTCCTAAGCCAATAGACGTTTCAAAGAAATTTTTTTCTAGTCCAGGTGTTAATGCAGCTTTATTAAGATATTGTTCATAACCGTTTATCATCGAGTTTTAAGACCAGTTCCTATTTAACTTCCACCGATGCGTTAAAGATACCTTCATGAGCGAGAAAATGTAAGTTTATTCTCATGTTAATAAAACAGCTTCGTTATCATCAAATTGGATACCTATCGAATTTGGTTACACAATTGGTCATGAATGAAGTGACATTAACTGTGTTCAAATTTGTCAGTGTCTCGCGAACTGTAGCAGGCAAAATTCCTCAGCACACAAAGCGAGTCGGGTCAAATGACTTTAAAGCTCCATTGATCAGTCTCAGAATCGCATAACTGAATAAAATATGGCATTCTGATTGGTCAACGAAGCGAAGTATTTAGCGTGGAATTGCGAGTTGAAAACGAGGCTAAGTGGTATTGTTTTGCGTCTGCGTAAACATAACACATATCGTCAAATTGTTACAAAGTTTTCTACAATGTCATTTTAAGGTTTTTTTTAAAAAACTTTTGAAGAGCCAAAAGCAAAAAGAAGCGTTTTTGAAAGTGAGTCAGAGGTTCTCCCCTGTTTCGAAATGAACTACAAATTCTTAGAGAGGCATAAAAGCTGGAAAATCCTGTGAACACGGTCCAGAAAATGGCATGCAAATGTTCAACCAAACAAGACAAAGTAGCGACAACGGAAGAAGTGCCAGGGTCGATTGTCATATATACAGAAGAAGAAATAAATACCTTTCATCGCGATGTTAAACTTTCAGTGCTTGTGCTTGGACATTTTATTTCTTTCAGTTTTGCCTCCAAAAGAGGTAAAAGGTGTAAATTATTTTCCTTCTCGAGCAAATGATTCGGAAATTTGAAAAAACTTTTAAAGATAAACGGCTTTGAACTCAGTGAAATACATCTATTATCCTTAATATAGTGTGAAGCTTGTTAAAAAGTTTGAAAACAAATGTAAAAACAAGCACAGGGAAAACTAAAGTCGTCGAAGATTCAAATGTGTACGACTGACCTTGTTTCCTATTCGCTAACGCGATGAAAGTTCCGACAGTTGACTTTGAAATGGTTTTCTGGGGCGCGCGCCCAGGATAAAAACAAACAAGATTATAACTGTTTCATTTTTTCTTATTTTCCTACTATTATGCGATTCAAGAAAATTCGTTACCAGACGAGGGAATTTCGAGCTAAATTACACTTGAAACCCGATATCGGTTTTCAAGTGCAATTTAACGCGGAATTTCCTCGTCAGGTAATGAATTGTCCAATAGTATTTTTTTTTCAATAAAAATTCAGTCCATAAAAGACCTCGTTTCTGCAAATGCCTTTTGCTAAAAAATCAGATGATAACATAGTCGTATGATACCGGTCTACAAATGTATGTAACACTGTCTGCAGCCAGCCGTAAACTTGTGCCTTACTGATAGCACTAGAGGTGGGGAAACATATATGCTGTGTAACGTCACGTTATTGTCTAGTTTTTCAGGAAATTGCTTTCTTTTAAAGATGCATCTTGCGGCATTTCTCTGTTCTTATGGATACTTATCACCGAAAGACTTGTGAATTGTGAAATTAACCAGTGTAGCTGACTTAGTAAAGAGACTAGACAAGAAAAAAGAGATGAGTTTTTCATTGATAATGTAATGTAGAAAATACGCATTTAAGATTTCTTTCTCTTCTTTTCTCTGAGAAATACTGGCAAGGATAGTCAATCTGGTAAAAGCAACCCTAGTTTGAGCGCTCAAATAATGGATATCAGCAGTGAGAAAAACTTTTTCCCTTTGCCTGGTTTTGTTTCCTCTCACAAATTATTATCAGAATTGTTATTTTATGATCGCTAACAAATTTCTGGGTTCAGTTAGTTTAGTTCAAATATACCTCATCGAGCGCGACTACGATTTAGGAAGTTTCTTGTTCTGTTTAGACATATTCCCGCATGGAATATCATTTTTTAAGAAACAAAGTTTCCTCACAGGTCTCATATTGCCCGTATTCCTGTATCCACTTTATTAGAAATATAACCAGCAGTAGTTAATTCAATTACGGTTATAGGGAACTGGATATCTCTATAAAAAACTTTTCAAATCCACAGGAGCCAGTGAGTCATCCACCACCGTGATATATTGAGGTGTTTACCAGTGGTATTTTGTTATTCCACTCAGCTTGAGGTAAGATGATTCAGAGACGCTCGAATGTTGGGTATTTATCTAGGAATAACTGGTCAATTGGATTGGTACTCCCTCCTAGCCTCTCAATAATTTTTTTTAGATTAACATTTATAAATTTAGGGTATACCGCAATATTTTTTCATAGACTCTTGAAGAGAAATTAAGTGTGCATAATTTTTAAAATTTTCAGTTGTTGCACTTCGTTATTGCATTCAAATTGGCTTCACTTTTTGACCAGGCTACATGTGTCAAAAGCTGATTGTTTTTTGTTCTTGTTTTGTTCTTACTTTTTTCATCCCTTTGTGCAAAGAAGTGATCAGTCACATTCTGAACACTGAACTGAATAGAATATTCTTGACTTGTCAGTGTCTCGCGAACTGTAGCAGGCAAAATTCCTCAGCACACAAAGCGAGTCGGTCAAATGACTTTAAAGCTCCATTGATCAGTCTCAGAATCGCATAATTGAATAACATATCGCATTCTGATTGGTCGACGAAGCGAAGTATTTAGCGTGGAATTGAGAGTTGAAAACGAGGCTAAGTGGTATTGTTTTGCATCTGCGTAAACATAACACATATCGTCAAATTGTTACAAAGTTTTCTAGAATGTCATTTTAAGGTTTTTTTTAAAAACCATTGTCAACTTTTGAAGAGCCAAAAACAAAAAGAAGCGTTTTTGAAAGTGAGTCAGAGGTTCTTCCCTGTTTCGAAATGAACTACAAATTCTTAGAGAGGCATAAAAGCTGGAAAATCCTGTGAACACGGTCCAGAAAATGGTATGCAAATGTTCAACCAAACAAGACAAAGTAGCGACAACGGAAGAAGTGCCAGGGTCGATTGTCATATATACAGAAGAAGAAATAAATACCTTTCATCGCGATGTTAAACTTTCAGTGCATGTGCTTGGACACTTTTTTTCTTTCAGTTTTGCCACCAAAAGAGGTAAAAGGTGTAACTTATTTTCCTTCTCGAGAAAATGATTCCAAAATTTGAAAAAAGATTTTAAAGATAAACGGCTTTAAACTCAGTAAAGTACATTTATTATCCTTGATATAGTGTGAAGCTTGTTTCAAAGTTTGAAAACAGATGTAAAAACAAGCACAGGGAAAACTAAAGTCGTCGAAGATTCAAATGTGTACGACTGACCTTGTTTCCTATTCGCTAACGCAATGAAAGTTCCAACAGTTGACTTTGAAATGGCTTTCTGGGGCGCGCGCCCAGGATAAAAACAAACAAGGTTATAACTGTTTTCTTTTTTTCTTATTTTCCTTCTATTATGCGATTCAAAGAAAATTCGCTACCAGACGAGGGAATTTCGCGCTAAATTGCACTTGAAACCCGATATCGGTTTTCAAGTGCAATTTAACGCGGAATTTCCTCGTCAGGTAATGAATTGTCCGATAGTATTTTTTGATGTGGCAATAAAAATTCAGTCCATAAAAGACCTGGTTTCTGCAAATGCCTTTTGCTAAAAAATCAGATGATAACATAGCCGCATGATACCGGTCTACAAATGTATGTGACACTGTCCGCAGCCAGCCGTAAACTTGTACCTTACTGATAGCACTAGAGGTGGGGAAACTAAACCACGAACAAGTCCATTTTCATTCGTATTTATTAACCAAGATTTTCCTGCAGAAAACGCAGGAAATGGCATTTCCGAGACCCTTCATGTAAACATTTTCTGCCCCCAGACCCCTTAGTTTAGACGTTCTTTAGCGCTCGAAATTATCTTCTCGTGCGTTCACCTTAAAAATCTCACTCTTCAACTTCTCGAAGAAATCGGAATAATTTTACAAAGTGATTACTCGGCGAACAATAACGTGCAAAAATACCCACCAGCGTTACGCTTAAAAATACAAACTTATCAACGATTTGTCGGCGGTGTGACGGTACCGGTGTAATTCGTAATTTCGTTCGTCGCTACATACGTGCATTGCATGAAGCAACAAGGCTTGTCGGATGTAATGTATTAGTACGACCCTTAGAAAGCCAATATCACAATGACAACGAGACTTTTTAATATCATAATTCCCCCCGCGGTGGATATTTGATTAGATAAACTAAAAGCAGGGAATTAGACAGGAATACCGAACGTTACGTTTGGCTTTTCGATTTGATTTCGAAATGGCATGATACCTTTTGCCGCAGCTTTAAAGTTAAAGCTAGGTTTTTGATGCTTCGTGTCAACCTAAAGACGGGTGTTGAAGAGACTAAATGAACACAATTGTTATTAATTTGGAACACGTTATTACCTACTAGTCTTTGTTGGTGATTGTCGTTTTGCTAAGTTTAGTTTTTGCGTCTTCTTGACTTTGTCACCTTTGTTAAATAGTCATATATTGTGAGCGAGTATTTTTCACATCGGAAGAAAGTATTGGTAGCCGATTGTCAGAGTGCCCAATGCGCCATGTCATAACATAACTTAGATACAACGCGCGCTCTGATTAATCAAAAATCTACTGTAATTTCTATGTAAAATCAAATAAATCTGAAATATTTTCCCGTCCTGCTGTCAAGTGGTGCTACTACTGGCGAACTCCTAAAGTTTAATTTGCTAAAAGCTTTTGGTTTGAAAGAAACGAGGAGAACACTTTGAACGCCAAAAACAACCACAAAAATTTAACTTTTCTAACAACATCAATGTCACCGATTGCTCTGTTTTAGGGATTTTAAAGTGAAAGACCCTCAGAAACTCTCCACTAACGCTCCCCAAACCACTCGCCAAGATCAGGGAAAAACTTGATATGTTCTTGCTCAAGAAAATCGCCCTAGAAAACTAAAGGCATTTTCCTTTAGATATTTCTGAGAATCTTATCTACTTGATATATGAAAAAAAAAACCTTTCGAAAGTAGATGTGCACTCAAGATTTTTGGAAATTCCGTTTCCTGTCCACGATTTCAACTTTCACCTGATAGTTTTTGCCAAGTTTAGGCATTCCAAACACTTTTGTAAATTTTAACAACGACTCCATGGCAATTTTAATTCAAGCTGAGACAACTTAAGCAAATTTTGTTACAGGAAAATAGTGTACCGCGAGTAAACAAAATAGTTGGACGACGCTTGAATCAGTACACACGAAACACGGCTCGATGTTGTTGTCTTTCGATTTCTTCGCTTTCAAACGTGATGTGGTCTAGTAATGTTATTAAATAATTAAAAGTTAAATCCTCACAATGAAAATAAACTCCACCAGTTAAAATCCTACAACTGAATTTACTTTTCAAAATAAAAACACTTCCGCAAGTAATTAAAGCTGCTTTCTATGCTTGCTAACTTTAAAAGCTTTCCGTACAGACTATCATGAAGAATTCTTCACTAACACGTTATTTTTTTATAAATTTTTTTCGCGTTCTCTCAACATCCAAAGGGATTTATATACGACGGCAAAGCGATGCTTAGCTATCCTGTTCAGTAGATTTGGATTTAAAGCGTCTTTTGAATAAATAAAAAAGAGAACAAACTTACAAGTCTGATAGCAAGATGTTTTTGCTGAAAATGACTGATGGTAATCCCTTCAACTGATTGTTGTCCAACCGCCTAACAAAAAGTCATTTAAAGGCGGTATTTAGTAGGTTACACCAATTAAGGAAGGTCAGGAAGCACATAAAATGCTTGCAAACAGACTGTTAGCGTCAATAAAGCGATTCTTTTTTTAAGTCTGCGATAAGAAAACGAGCTATACTGTAGAACAAAATGACTTTGAGGGTTTTTTATTCGAAGCATTGAAAACAACTGAACACTAAAATTCCTCTACGGAGTAAATAGCAACACAAATCGTTGCAGGATGTAATATACTTATAAGATTATAAAAGGAAAAAAAATAGAAATTAAAACTTTAGAGCAGGCCCTGCTTTATCGCCATATATCTAGCTTTTCTTTGACATCTGCAACCTTCTAGAAGTTAGACTCCTGTTTTTACGCCAGTTTGGAAGGAATACATCGATAAATCAGAAATCGCATCGTGCTGTTAATAGCAACATCAATCAACCTAAGGGTTTAGAAATTCGTCATTCATTGAAAAAATAGACTATTTTAAGATTTTACAATCTCTTACTATTTTACAACCCGGTCTCCATTTCACTGAGCCGATAGTATGTCTATCGGAAGGCTCTGCAGCTGGTTGTTTACTCAACCACACATCAAAAAATTGATCCAACCACGTTTAACAAGAACGGGTTATAATGCTGATAAAATATACTTGAGCTATGAGCATCCAATCATCACATTCTTAAAAAAAATAATTCCATTAAATTTCGTCTTAAAACTTTCAGATCTGAAATCAGTTTCAAACTAATCATGGGTTATCTTAACCCAGCTTTGAACAACCTCGCCCAGTAGATTAAGTAAAAGGGTCTTGGTTAACAATCAAAGTTGGTTATTGCTCTTGCGAACTTACTGTGGCCAATCTCATTAAGATGTTGCTACATATGAGTTAAATAGACGCAGTTTGTAATGCGAATTTATGAGGCTGTTAATTAATCAATGGAACGAGGAAACGAATCTTAGCTTACAGCCATCCCAGGTTAGAGATGTTACTGTGTTGAATACGCAATGGCTTTCAAAGCAGCTAATGACGAATACTTATATTTATTAACGACATATCATTGTCAGTCCCTGTTAGGATATCACTGCCCTTTTAAATTGAAATGCACACAGTACAGATTTGTTTAATCTTAGCTTACAGCCAAGCCAGGTGAGTATTGTTGCTGAAAATATCTTGTGACAAGTCGTTCAACTGGTTGTTACTCAAGTTCCTGTTAGAAAAAAATTGATACAACTGTGTTAAATACATACGGTTTTCAATACTCATGAAAGATACTTTTATAAAGAGATTAGAGACCGCTTTTATTCCAAAGTCTTTGTTTCACCTTCGCACGAATTTTCCGCTTCAAGAACCCATTTTTTTTGGATGTATTTCGTAGATCAAGTTATCAAACTAATGAGGATGAAAAAATGGTAGTAGATTCAGCTATGGACAAATAATCAACTTTCCGCAGCTAAATACATGTATGATTGCATAGATCATGAACCAGTGATCTTTAACCATTTCTTGTTCGAAATAACTTGGCGGTGAACGACATAGTGCAGAACGTAATAACTTGAAAATGTCTCAAAGGCTTTTTTACTTATTTCAATATTAATAATAACAAAAAAAGCAACTTAAGAAAAACGGCATTCAGTAGTAAACTCTTCCAGATGTACACACCGAACAGTCTTACTCAAAATCGTCCGTTGTACACCAGAAATGGATAAATTGCATTATTGTTCCAGCCATTTCTCGGTGAGATGGCATTCATACTATTAGACCTACTTTTTCAAAGTTATCTTTGACGTTTAAGGCTATATTTGAGCAGTCATATAACACCAAAGATAGTTCTGAATATAACTAAAACAGTTAAAATATATTGGTATATATCTACGTTTTTTGAAGTTCTCATGATTTGCTTGATATTTCAGTTTCTAAGGGCTTCCTATGCATTAAGTACCAGGTATTGCGAGCAGAAACAGAAAGCGTGCTCCGCCGTTATTTTTCACATTCTACAATTTTTTTTTTTCCATTCCACTTTGCCTTCACGAAGTCACGAAGTACTGCCTTATTGTTTAGCTTTGTTCTTGTTTTGTGACCCTGCTGACATGGACGTTAAGATATTTTTTAGTAGGCAGTTTTCCTTTTACGTGGCTCGAGAGACTCGGGAGATTGTAGTTCGGGTTAGGAATGACCCCCGTAGCAAACCTACGTTCAAAAAATTCAATATTGAAGAATTTCCGGTCATTGACGTCGACGGTACCACGCAAAGGCTGGTGTAAGATTGATTTAGAAGTCGCTCTTACTCAGTTAAGATGAAGAATAACATTCATTTGCTTCGTAATCTGCAGTTTAGTCTGCAACTTAAATAGTACCTCAACAATTGATCTCTCGTTAATACTCACAACGCCGCTGTGGTGAGGGGAATTTTCCACGGAAACGACATCAATTCTTTTCCTGCACAGTTCACACGCAACAGATTGTATGTTCCCTTCAACATGTGGCACTCACAAGGGCCTGGGCACTCTGAATATTAGACAGTAAGTATTGTTCATATAGTTAAATCGCTAAAAAAATGTGTAATATGTCACCACTGAGTTTGCATTGCCAAGAGAAAACCAATTTATTTTATAGTATCGAGAAAAAAAAAAGAAAATAGCTTTAGAATGATAGTTTACAGCGGGATGCATAAGATGCACTTTTAAACTTAAGCTAAATTTAAATTTGCGAATTATTTTAACTTTAGTGTATCTACTTTGAACTAATTACTAACATACTCTTATCATTATCAACATTTAGAGAAGTCAGAATTTAAGCTAAAACAAAAACAAAAAATTTCATCAAACTATGGCAGCGGACAGTTTCTCTCTGAGAGGCCGAACAGCACTAAATAATTAGAATAACAAAAAAATAGGTCTCAATTCCATACGAGCGATAAGATTAATGTTTCTATTGCGCGAATTAAAAAGTGGATATGATGAAATGATGCTTACAAACGGTATGACAAAATTAATCAAGAAAAATTAGTTAAAAAAATTGAAAACTAAAATTACCAAAACTAATCAAAACAAATGATCTCTTTAACTCTCACGAGTGACCGAGAGAGAATTTTTCCCCACAATATCCATACAATTTCAAGCAGACAAGTGATGAGAATAAAGAGAAATATCAATAAAGGGATTATCAGTTGATCCAGTAACAAATTCTCAGAACTAAGATCATAAGAATTGTACCACAGTCAGTAAAGAGAATTACTAATGAGATCTTGGAAGTGAAAGAGTTAATTGAAACAAACTTTGTTAAATAAACATCGTGCAAAAATCCTTACTGGTCGGAGGCAGACCATTTGGCAATTTACAAAGCGGGGAAAACCGAGAAACAAATCCAGTGAGTAGCAGGGTGGATAGCTTGAACCCAGACCACCAGATTACAATCTTTGTACCATAACCACAAGGCCAAACTCCAAACTTGCCTCTTTCCAAACAAAGATTGTCATACTGATATATCTAATCAAAGAAAGCCTAATCTAAACGTAGAACTGTCTAACATATTGATAATCTATCGCAGTTTAGAAGAACGGGGCAAATTACGAGAGCGACTACATCGAGGGCGGCGAGCCGTGGAGGAGAGATACTAAGAAATTCAACAAGATGCTAAGAAATTAATCAAATAGTAAAAATGTAGGTACTTCAATTGAAAAAGTTATATAGTTCCATTACAATGGTGTAAGAAATAAAACTCACTTTCAATGTTGAGGCTGATTTCCCTCTTTGATATCTCTTTATCTCTTCGTACCTCACAGCTGTAATTCACATTCTTTTCTGCCGCTACAAGCTGATATCTTACGCTGGTACTATTTTGAACAACAATACCATTTTTTCTCCACACAATGTATGGAGCTGGCGCACCTTCCACCGGGCACCACAGGTTGGAGGTTCTGTTCAAAAATACAATCTGTGTCTTGGGTACTTGGGTCATGGTGGGTGTGGCTACATTTGGCAATTGATAAAAAACGAAAAAACAAAGAAACAAAATGACTTTTTTATCATACAGAACAAGCAAACCGCAGGCATAATATTTGAAGTAAATACATTGTGTATGGACAACCATTTTTTACTCCAAAGTCGCGGAGAACTTCTGTCGGTCTCTTTCTTTGTCTGTTTCTCTCTGTCTCTATCTGTGGCTGTTCGTCTGTCTGTTTGTATATCAGATAAAAAGCTACTTAAAAAGGGAATAAATACTGTTACATGAGCAATAAAACGTAATAGTGATGTAAGCCAACGTTATGTGTCCTGAATATAAATTGTTATCTCATGAAATTACAGTTGAATCGAAAGATTTTAACCAAGTGCCTTAACAATGGTTAACTTAGCAAGAAATATCGTGCCTGTTTGATTGAAGGATTTTTCCAAATACTCTGCACTCAAATAATATCTCCCATCCGGGAAAAAGCTTAACCACAAGTACCGTCCACTGGATCGCACTAAAGCAGTTTTTGGATCCCCACAGAATACACCAAGAACGTTGGCTGACCGATTATTGCCGTCACGAATCTCAAGATAGTTATCCCGTAGACATGGTCGTGGAAACGACAAGTAGCTGTACATGGTAAACTTTAGTTCCACGTAGTGTCCTTTTGGAGCTGAGAGAACATATGTACTACGAAACCAAGGAACTCTCCTCCATCCTTTCACTTGTTGAGGATATTTCAACAAAACTACAGCAAAAAGGCAAAATTTGATAGATATCGTAGGTTAAAGCTTAATAGTATATACCAAGAGAAAGAAAAAGTCTGCAGTTTTACATAACAAGGGCCGCCATTTTAGACCTCTGCTGATCTCTGTCTTACAAGTATCACTTGACCACTGATCAGATATCAGATCAATAAGCTTTAAAACATCTATCGCACGACTGCAAAATAAATTCTCATTCAGAGCTAGCTATTACAAAACTGAGTCTTCCATTCCAACCAAAAACTTACTAACGCTTTACATTTGTAGTAAGTTTCATTGAGAAAAGTGTTTCATAAAGGAAAGTGGTTTATTAATGAATTAGAGGAATAATTTATTGACGTCATCTTATTCTAGCACTTTACTTTGAAGTTTGATTGTACAAGGTAAATGCAGTGGCAATGTCTTTGATAGGTTCAGTCTTGAGCTCAAAGTGGGACTAGGTAAACGTTTCGGACCACTTTCTTCTACCATCGAACAAGCATGCACCACATGTTGCATGCCTAGAAGCAGTTTGATATTACACGCAGGCATGAGAAGTTTTCACCCACATGATTATTACATTACATTTAAGCACTGGCACATATTGCAGTTCAAGAAAGCCTAACATAACAATTGCCAACAGACCCTCATGCCCACTTCGCAGTTTTTCTCGTCGTTCTATTCATCCATTCAACCTTGCACTCTCCTCCCTTCCTCTCCTCTTTTCCTCCCTTTACTCGCCCTTTCCCGGGCCTCCTCAAGCATCCTACCCTTCCTCCCCTCCCACATTACCCATGAAGGGCTCCCATTCCCTCCCAAATGTCAACAAATGCAAATATTTATCATTTTAGTAAACACTGTCAACAACAGTTGTGAACAACTGAAGCGCTTACAGAAAAGTAGGATGAAACTCCACTTAGCCACTGAGGGTACCATCATGACGTGTTTCAGTTTGTTTTCTGCAGAAGAAAAGTTAATGTGTCTCAATTTGTTTCTTTCATTTTTTCATCAAAAGAGGTTAGTAAATTAAATCTTTTCGAAGCAGCTCGATGTTTTATACACAAGTTTCTGGAGTATCTGGAGTAAACTCTTGAGGTTTTTAATGAATTTGTCTCCATCGGCTACAGAACAAACGTATCCTTCGAAGTGAAACAGACAAAACCTCAAAGACTTTCTTAGCACTTGCTGGAAAGTTGAATTTAAAAAAAAATAGCCACTGTTTAACTCTGCTGAAAATTAAGACATTGTTTTGCCATTGCTTATCAACAATACTTTTCATCACCTGCATTAAGCAATCGAAAGAAAAAACTCCCTTTTGTCCTAGAACATTCCCCTTTGTAATTTAGAATAATAAAAAGAAGATTGTGTTAGTTGCCTTAGACTCATGAGAAAAAAATTACGTCAAAACTAATAAATACAGCCACCCAGGAACCAATGGGGGACTCTTTACCCATTGTTCAGTTATGCACAGCTAAATTCACATACTCTAAAAATGGCAATGTTTGTTAAGACCTGGTAAAAGGAAAGGAGTAACTTTGTCGTCTTGTCTGATAACTATTGTTCATACTTCATAGAACATTTAAATATTGTGATAAAAATTTTGGTTTATTCTCAAATCATAAACAGGATATTCAACTGTACATTAAACTTTTAGATAGGTTTAACACCCGAAAAATTTCAATTCGTTCATGCATCTTGCACATTGATAAATTGTTTTCAACATTTTTGTGCGTTATTCATAAGAGGAAAAAATAATGTAAAACAGGGGGGAAAATTTAAGTTTATTTTTAGTACTGCTGTCATGGATTGTGCGCATATCCTGATGTATCAAAAATGGACAATTTCATATACAACTGAGCTAATTCTATTTGAAGCATTATCTTAGTGAGAATGGAGGCATCAGCTTTTAGCCAATGAGTTGCATTTCATAACAACGGACCTTCTGAGCTATGGCAAAAGAAATTGAAATGAAACAAAAATGTTTTTTTTCTTTTCAGAGTGACGCTTTTAATGCTAAAATAGTGTTAGCGTAGTCTCCGACTTTCAAGTCGGAGACTACGCTAAGATCTCAGTGCGACCGAAGGACGCTGTCGACCCGGCTACACAAGATGGCGTCGTTTACAGGATTCCCTGTGAATGCGGCAAGGTATACATCGGAGCGACTGGAAGACCTATATAAGACAGAATTAAGGAGCACGATTGAGACATCCGACTTGCCCGTACCAGACCTCCGCCGTTTCAGAGCATGCCCACAACACCGGACACAAGCCACTCTGGAACGAATTCGAAGTAAAGTTTAGTGATCTTGACCCTTATTACTACACGTGCAGAGCCAAAGAGGCAATTCATATAAGACTTCACCCTAACGACATCAACAGGGATAGTGGAATAGAAATTCCAGAAGCGTGGATGCCCACGATGAAAAACATAACGACAGGAGAGCCGTGCGACAGCGGACCGCCGAGGGAGCAAATCACTGAGTGAAAAAGGAAAGGATCGAAATGCACCAATCAGAGCTATTGAAAAACAACTAATCCCAGCAGAGCATCATGCTTTATAAGATCACGCATGACCAGTCGACCTCATCGCCTCAAGAAGACTTGCAGTATGCAGTCGAAACGTCGCGATCTTCATTACACGTGACTACATCGTAAGACAAACGAAAAAACTTAGCTTTTATTGTTATTCACCACGATGAATAACCAAAACCTTTTTTACGAAATTGACTGACATTTATTTCTCCTGAATTCTAAAAGTTGTTTAAAGCTTCATCTTCAAAATTTACATTGACAATACGAATTTCTAATTCTCTGGTCGATTACACGCGTCATTATGGACCAATATTAAAAAAAAATTCCCTTCTCTTTCAAATGCCTTTTTGAGTAATGAATCATATGATGAACTTCCTTTTTCCCACTTCCCTCTTCCTTCAGAAAACGTCGGTATTGTTGGGAGAATTAAGAATTTATTGTTTGGAACTAAACAGTTATAAACTAAAAGAGTTATATATATACTAAAAGTTATTAAAACTCTAGTAGTTTTTACATCTTCCTAAAGAGCATGTGGACAAAGTATGTTTTCCTTTTTTCTTTTTTTTCTTATTTTAGTTCCTTTTAATTTCATTGATGCTGACGAAAGAAATGCTAACGTCGACAAAAAAAAATTGAAAATTAGTAATTTTTAGAACCCGCATCATCCACAAGCTGACTGCTTCTTGTCTCCAACTCAGTTTTCATTTGACTTTCAAATTTTTGGTTTTACAAACTGATCGCCAATTTTTCCTTTTTTTGTTGTTATTATATCTTAAATGTAAAACAACTATTCACAAGTGGACACTCCTATGCAGATTTTTCCACTCTGAAGTTCGAAGATCTTACCACCAAATCTTGTTGTGTTTCTCTAAGCATTTGGACATTTTAACAAGTTGATTGTTCTCGATTCTCGTCAGTAGTTTTATTAATGTTCATAGAGAGAAAATAAATTTTGATCAGTTTTACAGAAGTGCTATGTTTCCTGTGTTGTGAAATCACTAAGAAAGTTCATCGCAGCGTTCATGTTTCGGTAATTTTACAGAACCTAAAGAAACTAGACGGATCGAATAACAGACTATACGTTCCAGAGATAAATAGTGAAGAATTATTGTTCTGTTAGAGTACAAAACAAGCACCTATTCATCAACAGAATCGACATATGTACCGGAAATGAAATTATTTTGCGATACACAGAAAAAATTGCTCACCGTCTTTAAATCAACTATTTTGTCGCAAGAAGGATAAAATAATTGACCACTATATGGGTAGAGGAGAAAGCTACAAAGCTGTTACATTAAGTACCTGAATATTGATTGTCCCTTTACACTTTAAGAGCCTGATGGCATTTATCCACATATGCAGCAGAGAATAAATACACAGAAAAAAAAAAAGGTTTTTACAGCTGCTGTTAAATGTTGTTCTAAATAAATTCAAAGTTAAGACGAGTATTTTAACCGCGTAATTCGTTAAAGTCACACTTATAACAAAAACGGAAAAGAAAATTAGTTTAGGTTTAAAAAAAGGGCTGATTACTACTGCTATTGGAAACTAACTAGACAACTGATAGAATGCTGCAGCAAAATGAAGACTTTCTGACCCAAATTTGATCCCTGATCATATTAAAAGATAACTATCGTTCGGCAACTGACGTTTTCATTAGTTCGCACCAATATTCAACTTATAAATGCTGATGATGCCATCATCGACGCACAAACTTTCACATCTGAAATTTCTGTTTCGCCGTGTACATAAAAGACGACTATTTGTGTTCGTTCTTTGAAACCGGATCTCAAAATATAAATAATGTTGTCCTATGGTTGAAAATATTTTTCCCACATCAGTTACTCTCTGCTAGGAAACAAAAAGTTGAAACAAAGGTGGACGTAGTTTGAATAATTATCATTACCATTTTCATTTACTACTCTTATGTTATTATCTGCAGCGTACCGAGTGTTAATGCATAAAAAAATTGCCCTATTAAGTGCAAAACATAACCTATGTTGTTTTGTAGGAATTTAATACTGAAAAAGTTAAGGTCTTAACTCTTCGCTAGCTAGAACAATTTATAAAAAAAAAAGGAAACAAATTTCCACTATCAAACCTTTGCATTAATTTTCGCGCATTGATTTATCCCTTGCCGACGTGACATGTCTGTCACACGGGGAAAATAAACCTCACCAGCTAACCGAAGAAACACAAGAACCATCTGAGCGGACAACATTACAAAATCTATGACATTAGAAGGTAACAATGGAATGTCTCCCACTCGTGCACGTATTTACTGACAACCATCGCTACACGTGAACAGAGCTTGACCGAGGGGAACGTTATACCGGCATGACATTTTGGTCTTGTAGTATTTTG